TTATTATTATTATTATTATTATTATTATAAAAAACTTCAAACATACATGAAGTGACATTAACAATTGCAAAACATCATGATTTTTTAGACTGTTTTGATTAAACATACTCAAGTATTTTTTAACTTTCTACACTGTATATTAAAGAAATAAAAAATAATCATACAATGATAATAATTCTACATAATCAAAAAAATTATTCAAAAAGCTATTGAGAAATATCCAACTCAGAAAATTGACCCAATTTTATTTATTTTCATTTATTATTATTATTATTATTATTATTATTATTATTATATAAAATAATAAATAAATAAAAGGACCCGCCGTAAGAGTATCATAACATCCGTGGATCTTGGTTCGGGGATAATTAGTTGCTGACGAGATTTAACACAACTCAAAAGAAGGACTCACCACTAACTAGGTAGGAATGTAAGAAAAATCGAAAAACCAACTAAACTGATTGAACCAAATTGAACCGGTCATATTTGGTTGGTATTTTAATATGAATTTGCCTGTTCAGTTTTGAAAATTATTTTTTTCAATTTTCAATTCGGTACCAGTTTTGACATATTGTACACTGATTTTCACCAAACCGACCGTAGATGTTTACATATAATAAAATTATTGTTTTAAGTTTTGGTTTTATTTTGATGTTAAGAATTTAGTTCTTAAATTATATTTTATTTATAATTCTAATTCAGTAAAAGTTTCAAGCATTAATATTTATTATTTTTTTTGGTTTGTATTTTTGTGAATAGTTGGATTGGATATGGTTAAAATAAGTACAAATGGCTAATTTAATATTTTTATATAAATTATTTATTATATTACAAATTTAAGAAACGATTTATTTTAAAAGTACTTAAACCGATTAAATCACAGTGAGCCGAACCGTTTGAATCGATATGGTTTGGTAAAAAATTTGGTCTATATCAGTTTTCAATATAATAAAATCGACATTATCGGTTCGATGCAAAATTTCACCTAAATACCGATCGTCCCGAACCGATTGCATCTATATATATATTAACTATAGTGGAATGGAACGGTTTCGAAGACGAATTATAAATTTTAAAATTTAAATAAATATAAAAATATTATTTTGGTTATAAAGAATTATAATTTATTTAATTCGTTATCTAATTTGTTACCACCCAACAAAATATATATTTGTAATGAAAACATATTATATCATTTTAATATTTATGTTACAAAATTTTAGAGTGATGTTACAATATACTTTGAGTGATTTTGAGAAATTGATTAAATATTGACTTTTGACTTTGTTTGACTTTATTGAAAAAACATATAAAAATAAATAAAAAGATAATATCACTCAAAATAAATTAAAATTTTAATTTTTAACTTTTAACCAAATATCAACAACCTTTTAGTGTAGAGTTTGTGAGTATCCGTAAGAGCATCTCTAACCCACTAGACATATAATACTTGTTAGTCAAAATATCTAATGTGACTCACTTTTTTCAACTCCAATGCACTAGGCATACGACTAAACATATGTGCAAGACAGAGAGACGGGTTGCCTCACAGCTGCCGAACTGAGACCTTTCAGTATCAAATGCAGGCTTAGAAAAATGCTGATCACGAGAAAGCCTCTGGAGCAACAAGAGAAATCTATCCCTATATAAAGTGGCTTTGGCAGAAGCATCACCATGGATTGGAATCTTTCCTGTATGCCTACAATTCAAAAAATAAAAATGGCATAACTAACACCACCTAGTCAAATGTTTAAATTAATCATTACAATTGCAAGGCAGCAAGTCTGATATCTAGCTCCATGTACAAAGAAGTTCCAAAACTCCACTAATCCAAGTTCCAAAGATCCCAATAGAAAGATAAATTAGGAATGTGGGTAACAAAATTGTTTCCCAATAGAAAATCAAATTTGGCTTGGATTTGTCAAGATTATGCAAGATCAAGTGTCTATGAAGACTCTAGGTAAGGATTTACCTCTCAAAGCTTGAAGATCATATGGTATAATGTTTGATTTATGGGCTACTGAATGTATTTTGCTTGAACATGTTAAAAAGAAGATGATTCCTTACATACATACATTAATATGTTGGATTTTGAAGTTATATGTTACATGCATTCTAGAATTGAGTTATATTGAAGTTCAATCTTATAGTTTGAAAGCTATGGAATGGAATTTAGACTAGATTGTTATATGCATGAAGTGTTTATACATAAACATTGAAGAAAAATGATGAAATTATGAGTTCATGGCAGTTAAGAACTTGATCTGGAAAATTAAAAAGGAGTTTGATTTATTTGAGTTGAAAATTGAATTATAGTTCATGAATATTTCCATGTTTTGAAAGTGTATTGCATGAGTTATCTAACTTGAGAAGGAAAACCATGAATTTCAACGATTGAAGCTCAAGATTATGATTTTGATATTTTAATTCAAGGATTTGGGGCTTTTGTATGAAATGTGAGCTTCAATTTAAGGTTATGATTTTTGTTTAAAGCTAAGTATGTGAAATTTAATTCAACATGTTTTTATGAATTTTGAGCTTTGAAAAATATGGATTTGGAATTAGATTTTGAAAACATTGAGTTCCAAACCAAAGACAGATTTCAGACTGCTCCAGGCCCAGGATTGGGAATCCCGCACATGCGGTTTTGGTCAGGCTCAGATTTTGTTTTCATATCATTTTTTTTTTCTACCTTTCGGGCCACCGTTTGCATAATTTTGAAGAGTTTTTCATGTGCATTTGCATTTCATGTATCTAAATGGATTACAAGAACAAAATGTTAGAATTGAACGAGTGAACAATGAATAGAAACAAGTAAGTAACCGACCGAATGATTGAACTGTATATTGAGATATCATGCTTGAATTGTTTGCTTAGGTTGGACGCCGTATCCTTAGTGCAACTTTAGGACGTACTTCAAGGAGCCCACTGTGAGTAACAATGTTGTAAAGCTATGTTCAATTATAATTATTTTTTGAATGATTAGCTGTACTGCTTTCTGAAATGATATTGTTTACTGAATGAATGTTTGTCCTATTTTATGAACTGTACTCGTGGCATCCATAACAAATGATTGTTACTACTACTGCTACTGTTACTGTTATTGCTACTGCTATAGAGATCTCTGTCAGTTCCAATTTTTGGAACTACTGTTTACTGTTTGATGGCTATAAATTGATTGTTCAGTCTTTTAAGACCTACTATACTGTTCTGCTATTGGATGTATCATGTATGACTGCTATGATTACTACATGACAGATATGATATGAAATATGAGATACTAATTGAATAAATGATCTGCTGATGCAATTGGCTATTTTAAATACTGAAAGGACATTCATTCTTAACACCTTTACACATTTGTTATTCACTGGACTTTAGCTCACAGTTTATTATATATATGTAGGTGGTCAAGCACCAGATCAATCGTAGCGGCGTCGACAAGAAACCAGTTTTTGTCAAGCCAACTGCTGTGCCTCATTTCAAGGTTCCGAACTATTGCATGTCAGGGCTTATTGGGTGATTTAGATTCACCCTTTTGACATTGTGTTTAAGAGATAAGAATGTTTATTGAGTTTTGTTAATTGTTTTTGGCAATGGGATTTAATTCCTTAGCTTGTGGTTTGTTTTGTACATGTTGTAGACGCGCCCGCGTGGGCCTCACTACGGTTCGGACTCGATTTGTGTCACGGCTCTTAATCTGAACCAGTGCCTCATTTCAAGGTTCCGAACTATTGCATGTCAGGGCTTATTGGGTGATTTAGATTCACCCTTTTGACATTGTGTTTAAGAGATAAGAATGTTTATTGAGTTTTGTTAATTGTTTTTGGCAATGGGATTTAATTCCTTAGCTTGTGGTTTGTTTTGTACATGTGTGTTATAGACTTAAGTGTTTGTGAAATCAAAAGTATGTGAAATTTGTTCTATTCATTTAAGTCATCACAGTTCATTGGATGTTATTTTCCATTATTGATTGGCTTCTGCCAGCCCCTATTATTGTGTTATTGTCATTATTGTTAAGTAGGCCTTTGGTAATCATGGATTACTGGCCAGTTACGACGTTAAAATTATAGGGGCGGGTTTGGGTTGTCACAAAGGTGAAGGTTCAACAGGGTGATTACTCTTTTCATCAACCTAAAGAGGGTAAGATCAATAAAATAGAGGTAAAACATGTGTTTGTTTGTCTTCATTGTGGTAGGTATGGCCGCATTCGCCCTTATTGTTTTGAGTTGTTTGGTGAGGTGTCTCAAAAAATTAGAAATTCTAATACTTCATGGGTTAGGAGACAACCTTACATGTCTCGGCAGAACAGTAAGATTCATGGTGGTGTTCACAACGCTAAGATGTTTATCAAGACTGCCAGTCCTGTTAAAACCAAAAAGATATGGGTAAGAAAGAGTGACTTGTTTTGTTGTTCATACTGCACTGAAAGCATGTGACTCACACACGTGGTATCTTGATAGTGGGTGCTTTCGTCACATGTCTAGTGACAAATCTTACTTCACATCTCTTGAAAAATATGAAGGAGGAATTGTTACCTTTAGAGATGATGGCACTTCTAGAGTCATTGGTAAGGGCTCTACAAGTGTGGCTGGTCTTCCTAAGCTCAAAAATGTCTTATTTGTTGATGGTATTAAAGCTAATATTTTGAGCATTAGTCAAATATGTGATTCCCATCATGAAGTATTATTTTCAAAAAATAAATGTGAAATTTTGGCTAAGAAGGGAAATGTGTTCATGCATGGGGTTCGCACATCTGATAACTGCTATGGGATTGTTATCACTAATGATCTCCCTTGCCGCTTGGCTGTCATAAGTAACCTTGACCTGTGGCAGCAAAGATTAGGCCACATGAATTTCAAAGACCTAACTAAGATAGCCAACAAAGAGCTTGTGAGAGGAGTACCCAAAATAGGTAAGTATGTGAACCATGTGTATGGACCATGCAAACTTGGGAAGCAAACTCATGCCCCTCATAAAAAGGTGAATAGATTCACAACCAAATGTCCTCTTGAACTTGTTCATATGGATCTTATAGGACCTACTCGCACTGAAAGCATTGGAGGTTAAAGATATATTTTTTTAATTGTTGATGATTACAGTCGTTTTTCATAAGTTAATTTTTTAAGAGAAAAATCTAACATGTTTAATGCTTTCCATTCCTTAGTCCTTAAAATTTGAAATGAACAGGGTGTTTTTATTAGGCATATCATAAGAATCTGAACTGATCATGGTCATGAATTTGAAAATAGCTCGTTTTTGAGTTTTTGGGATATGCATGAAATTGAGCATGAGTTTTCTGCACCCATTACTCCACAGCAAAATGGAGTTGTTGAGAGGAAAAATTGGGTAGTTTAAGAGATCGCTAGGGTCATGCTCCTTGGCAATAAAATTCCTTAAAAGTTCTGGGCTGAAGCCTTAAATATTGTTGTTTATGTTGTGGATTGTGTGTATTTAAGACCCGACACTTTACAAACTCCATATGAATTGTGGAAAGGGTTGAAACCTAATGTAAAATATTTCAAAACTTTTGGAAGTAAATATTACATTTTCAAAGATAGAGAGCCTTTGGGAAAATTTGACTCCCCAAAGTGATAAAGGTATTTTTCTAAGGTATTCAACCACCAGTAGAGCTTTTCGTACCTATAACCCACGTACTTTATCTTTAATGGAATTGATCAATGTGGTTGTAGATGACACAAGTTCTCCTACTTCATCTATACATGAGAAAGAAGATGGTGAGTCTCAAATCTTGGATACTGAACCACACAGTCAAGGAGAAGTACAGGGCCAAGCCCAAGAAGGTGAGCCATCACTAACTTCTATGGTAAGTCTGAGACCAAAGAGTGCATAAAGAGACACCACCTTCTATGTTCAAGTCACTACCAATCTAGTTTTAGGATCATCAGCAAGGGTAAAATTGAATCATCCAGTTCAACAGGTGATTAGAAGTCTCTTAGACCGAATGAAAACTCAAAAATAAATTTGGGAAGTGGTATCTTATATGTGCTATGTTTCGTTAATTGAACCTAAGAATCCAAAAGAGGCCTTACTAGATGATAGTTGGGTTAATGCAATACATAAAGAATTAGGTCAATTTGAACGTAACAAAGTTTGGACTCTTGTTCCCAGACCTAGAGACATGAATGTGATAGGTACCAAGTGGATCTTTAAAAATAAATCTGATGAGAATGGTATTGTGGTTATAAATAAAGCTAGGTTGGTTGCTCAAGGCTATATACAAGTAGAGGGTGTTGACTATGATGAGACGTTTGCCCCTGTTGCACATCTCAAATCTATTCATATTTTACTTGGTATTGCATGCTATCTAGGGTCAAACTGTTCCAAATGGATGTGAAAAGTGTCTTTCTCAATGGGTACTAGAAAAAAGAGGCTTATGTTGAGCAACCAAAAGGGTTTAATGACCCAAAATGTCCAAACCATGTCTATAAGTTAGACAAGGTGTTATATGGGCTGAAACAAGTCCCTCGAGCTCGGTATGATATAGTTACTACCTTTCTTCTGGATAATGATTTTCAAAGGGGTAGCGTTGACAAGACCTTATTTGTGAAACATACTAAGTCTCATATACTTGTTGCTCAGATTTATGTTGACAGTATTGTGTTTGGATCCACTTTTGATTCTCTTGTGAATTATTTCTCGGATTGCATGACACATGAGTTTGAGATGAGCATGATGGGGGAGTTGTCTTATTTCTTGGGTCTTCAAATTAAATAGTCTCCTTCGGGTATGTTTGTCTCTCAGACCAAGTATGCCAAAAACCTTATGTCTGAGTTCGGTCTAGAGTCTGCCAAACATGCTCTCACTCCCATGATCACTAGTCTTTATCTCTCCAAAGATTCCTCTGGTATTGATGTTGATCCTATCCTTTATAGGAGTATGATAGAGAGTCTTTTGTACTTCACAGACAGTCGACCTGACATTGCATTTAGTGTAGGTGTCTGTGCCTATTACCAAGTTTATCCTAAAGAGTCTCATCTTCTTGTAGTCAAATGCATCATTAAGTATGTTAATGGGACATTGGGGCATGAGATTTGGTTCTCGACCGACACTATAGTTCAAATCACTGGTTTTTCAGATGCCGACTGGGTTGGGTTTGCTGATGATCGTAAGAGCACATCTGAAGGGTGTTATTACCTTGGGAATAATTTGGCTGCTTAGTATTGTAAACAGCAAAATGCCATCTCTCTTTCGACCGCTGAGGCTAAGTACATTATTGTAGGGAGTTGTTGTGCGCAAATGTTGTGGATAAAGCAAATGCTTCATGATTATGGTATAGACCAGGACACTCTCACCCTTTTTTGTGACAATACAAGTGCCATTAACATCTCCAAAAGTCTAGTCCAACACTTTCGCACCAAACATATTGACATTCGTCATCATTTTATTCGAGAGTTAGTAGAAGAGGGCTTTGTAGTTCTTAAACATGTACCCACTAAGCGTAAAAAAGCTAATATTTTTACAAAACCCCTTGATCTTCTTCGGTTTGAGTTCCTTAGAAAGACCTTAGGTGTAGTTCTCATTAACTAGAGTGTGACTTGTTACTTGAGTGGGTGAGAGTGATTGGCTCTTTGTATACTTGGATGCTATAATCTCATTGTCATTGATTCTTGTCATCTTTGCTCTTAGACTTAATGGACACTTCTCATGCTGCTTACAAAATTTCATTTATCTTTGTTCATAGCTCATTCTAAATGCTCATGTTCATTGAATTCATGATCTCATTCTGTACACATTCTTAAGATAAATTGTTGCAGGGGTTTCCGCATAAGTGATCAATTTTCTCTATGGACTTCTAACATTGTCTTTTATACATTTCTCAAAGAATTGGTCTATACTGGCACATCATGGGTGATGTTGAGTCTCTTAACCATCCACCATCTATTTTCACTCGGGCATTAGGAAAAGGCTACTTCAGAGGTACCAACCAGGCCATCCTTATTGTTTCCATGCTTCTCTAGTTTGGTCTCCATACTCTTGAGCATGCAAGCCACCAGTGAGTGCCCACAAAAAGGAAAGTAAATTTTTTTTAAAAAAAAAAGGACTCATTTCTTGAGGGGGAGCCTTCACTTTTACTCAACAAATACCCCTTGATTCCTAGTGATTTGACTTTTCTCAATGATGTTTAGATTCTCTTGCCGAAGGTTGAGCCATCTAATCATTATAAGGATTAACTCTAGCTCTGTGGCCTCTCAATGATTGCACACACACACATTCATTATGTGAGCTCTCATGTTTGCCTTTGAGTTGTGTAATCATATGTTGCTTATGCTCATTAATTCATGTTTACCTATTTTACTCATGATATCGTGCTTCTCACTGTTTACATTGCAATATTGCTGACTTCATGGAATGTGGATTTGTCACGACCCAAATCGCCCCTATAAGTTTAGCGTCGTAACCGGCCAGTAATCCTTGGATTACCAAAGGCCTCTTAACAGAATAACATATAATTAGGGGCTGCAGAAGCAAATAGATAAAATAGACATAGTCCATGGAGCTGTGTTGACGTATATGAGACAGTAATCTTCAAAACAAACTTGCATGTATACTTATGATGTCACAAACACATAAGTCATACATCATCCATTTACAAAGTATAGCGAA